CTTACCAATTTAGTCGCAATCCCGTTACCATTATTAAGAATACGACAGCCAGTGGAAGCGAGTGCCAAAAAACTGCGTAGAGGTGTTCCAAGGAGCAGGACCCTCTCTTCAGTGAAAAATATACAAGAGATCTTTTTTCGTTTGCTTTCGCAGTAGCAAAGGACCGACATTCTTTTTTTTCTTTCGCTTTCGTCAGCCCAAATTCAGCGTTAGATGGTAATCATAACTGAAACGAGACAATAATAATTAAAGCTATAGAAGTGGGGAGGCAAACAAGGTGCGCCGGTGGTAGTGGACAGCGCGTATCACCAACACACAGCACAATGTTGGCTCTGACGTTGAATGATTCACCCGGCTCAGTTCCCATGGGCGTTCTCATAGAGCAGTGATATTTGGATTCCTGCCCTGAGAGGGTACTTTTCGGGTAGAGAACTTTGGAGAACGGAGCTGTTTCATCTGGTAAACCATCAAAATTCCTCCAGTTCTTGCCATCCCAGCCGGTTCGTCTTAGCTGCGCCAGCCGTGCCGTCCCCCGTACTTGCTACTGCTGTCTGTTATTAGAGCACGTGCTCGACAGTTTCCTCACACCTGGAACTCCTCGACTATCTTCAATTACTGACATTCGACTCGTTCGCCTTTGACTGCTCTCAACTCCTGAAATTTGGCTATTCGCCTATCTGCTGGTGATCGATTCTGGAACTGATCAACGATATTTTCGCGCCTTTTCGCCCTACTATCGCTACCTGGTCATCGTTGGTATTCCGATATCATTATAATGCCGCCGAAAAAGAGCCCAGCAGATGGGGAGCCGGACTGGCTGAAGGCCGTATTGAGGAGGTTTGATGATTTTTTTGAGCGTTTCGACAAAATCATTAGTGTTGTTATGAAAGTTCAAGAATCTCATTCTACCATTCTTGATAAGCAGAAGGCTATGGAGCAATTACTATCAATTGATGCCCTTCCTTGCTCTCATCCAAGCTCTGCTCTGTATAGCACGTTATCCAAATTCAAATCGGACACTAAAATTGTTGATGACATTGCCTGTAAGATAACATGGGTAGGCATTGAGGAGAAAGCGACGGAGGAAGCTACGCGCGCTTATGATAGGGAGGCCATAAAGGAAGTGGTTGAAACTTCAGGAGACAAATGCCTCCTAGAAGAGTTCAACCATGGTCGAATAGAGTTTTGCAGACACCCGAGAACAAGGGTTCCAGGGCGCCTGCAAAGCTCCCGTCCGCGCATTATCAAAGTGAGCCTAAGGAACCAGGAACTCAGGGACCGCTTGCTACAGCATATGAGAAGTGGGCGTCAGTCTCTTACCAAAGACTTTCGTCCATTCATATGCTCCGCCCTGACTATACCAGGGAAGAGATTGAGTATGATCGCGCGCTACGTAGGAAAGCAGGGATCATGAACAGCCAAGAGGGAAAGCTTACATATATAGTCCGCGATCTTGCGATACACAAACTCCGATCCCGCGCGAGTTACCTGCAAGCACCCCTAGCAAGCGCCAATCTCCAAACGCTCTCTCTTTATCTCCGATTTCGATCTCGCACGTTCATTGTGCTGCAGAAGTTGCACACTAGGGAACAGGAGAAGATAATGCGCGCTAATCATCAAGTCCACACATCAGGAATGATAGCTGCTCATGTGATTTCCAGTTATTCAATGCTCGCTCGCTGTTAAACGAAATAGCCGACTTGAATTTCCTTTTGCATGAAAAGCCTCATGGATTATTCATAACAGAAAGTTGGTGTAAGCCTTGGTCTATTCAAGACGCCGCGCTCAGCCATGGATCCGACTACAGTGTCTATCGCTGTAATCGTGAAGGCGAGATTTGGAGTGGGAGTAGTGGCACTGATATTTCCACGGACATGTTCAAATGATTGCTCTTCAGATAGATTCTAAAAACCAAAAAATGCTCATTTTTCTTACCTACAGAGGCCCATCATGTAGTACCGCCTCACTTACTGATTTCATCGCTTATATTGAGTGCTTTCTCAGCGAGTGGAGGAATCATGTAGTAATCTTTGGGAGATTTCAACTTCCCTACGATTGATTGGCACAACATGGCCCACAGAGGCAATGTATCAACGCAAGCTTCCTCCTCGTTTCTCCATCTTGCCCGCTCATTCAACCTTACACAAATGGTAAAAGAACCCACGCACGGGATGAATATATTGGACATACTGCTAACTTCCGAACCATCCATTATCGCTGGGCCCCGTACACTACCCCCGTGTAGCACTTCGGATCGCCGTCGACTTAAATCAAAATTGTTGATGCATCCGTAGTTCTTTCTAACAAGCCAACCTATTATAGACTATGTTCAAGAAACAACTGTGAATCAATAGTCAAATCACTTAGGGAGATTGATTGGATAGGTCTCATCAACTTTTGCAGTAGCACGAACGCGTGTTTGTTAGCATTTATAAGCGTTTAATCAAAAGATACGTTCCGGTTTCCCGTCGCAAAGACACTTGTAAAGGGTACTCGAAGCGTATACGATATTTGAAAGCGAAAGCTGATTATTTTTATTCCAGTTCTTTATCAGTGCGCCAGAGTGAATACAAAAGATATTCTGTGGAACTCAGAAAGGCCCTTGTTCGCCGACAAATGCTGAAGGAAAATGACTTAGCCTCCAGCAAGAACACCAAGCGCTTTTTCAGTTACTGTAGAAAGAATCTCAAATTGGCTGACTCAATTCCGAATTTAATTTCACAGGGTGTCGTGGTAAAAATGATCGAGCAAAAGCTGACTTGTTCGCTTCCTACTTCAGCTCAGTCTGAAAGAAACTCGGTATGTGACAAGAGGATCGTAATTTGCCGCGCTGCTGGGCGTCGCGTGCGACGTCCCGCCCGCAAAGGACGATGGTTTCAGGCAGTAGATGGCGACAACATGCAATTAAGGACCGAAAACAGTAATGAGTGTCTACGATGACGGGGTCTACATGAAGTCCGGTGCTCCATTCGACAGGTTAAAACGAGTTATGAAAACGCCGCGCCCATCGCCGCGCGTGGCGGTGCGGCGAATTACGATCCTCTTTACCGTCTCCCAAAGAAACCCCGCCTAATCTATATTAACTTGTCTGGGGCTGCACCGGGTAGCATCAACTGGGTAGACATCAACGTCAACAAGGTTCAAAACGCTTTAAAGAGACTCCCGAATAGGGTATCCAGGTCGCCAGATGGTATCCCCGCTTTATCTCAAGAAGGCAGCACTGGGGCTCGCCTCTCCTCTGACCATTCTTTTCAATAGAGCACTACTTCAAGGAGAGGTTCCCTGTCTATGGAAGATTGGGCTTGTGCGACCAATATTCAAAAAAGGCTGTAAAAATGAAGTCTCCAACTACAGACCCATTTGTTTGACCAGCTCTGTCAGCAAAGTGATGGAACGGATACTCTGTCGTGCAATTATCGGGTTCTTAATTGAAAGGCAGTTGTTGCACGCCCAGCATGGGTTTCGTCGGCACAGATCCACAACTTCAGCGTTGTTGTCGATAATTCCTCTCTGGCAGAGAGATATAGACAAAGGGAATTTCATTTCCTCTTGCTATATTGATTATGCCAAAGCGTTTGACTCGTTATCTATCCCTCTCCTGCTGAGAAATGGCAGCTTATGATGTAGGAGGTCAGCTTCTTCGCTTCCTCGAGCCTTTTTTGGTCAACA